AATGATTGTCCAACTTCACCAAAAGTTAATAAATTCAGCTGATTTGTAATTTGTATATTTATTTGAAACAGATATGTTCTTTAATACTCCTTTTTGTTTATTTATAGAGCTATAGGTGGATCATGAAAAGGCTACTAAGGCCTAGCGACCTCTATATATATTGATAAATTCTTATCATTACCCCACTACCCAAAATACAAAATATAAACCCGCATTCTTATGTATATCGCAAAAAAATGTACAAAGTAACGGGAGATGGATCTCACGCAGACAAAATTGTTTGGACATTTTACCTAAAAACAAATGTAGCTCCGACTGCCGGCAATGTATCAGCATTGGGTGGGCCGCTACCAAAGTAGACCATAGGCTGACCACTTGCTAATGCTAAAATTGTTTTAAAAAATTATTATTTCTTTACTGGGTGCAGCAATATAAGGCACCTATAATAAGTGTACCTGCTATATGGGGTACAGGAAATATGGGTCACATAAAATGTGGGGCACAGGCAATATGGATTATAAAGAATATGTGGTACTTATAATATGTGATACATGCAATATGGGGTAGAGGCAAATGGGAGGTACCCGCTAATAAAGTACCTGTTCATGGTGGGTCTACGACAAATGCCCGAATGGACACTTGCCCGAATGCGACAAATGCCCGAATTTGTCGCATTCTGGCAAGTGTCCATTCGGGCATTTGTCGCATTCGGGCAAGTGTCATTCGGGAAATCGACCTTCGGGCAAGTGGCATTCGGGAAAATGTCCGGCTCCCAATCATGGTATTATATTGTTGGAAATTATGAAATGTTACAAGTGACCAGCGATGAAGCTGCATAGTCACCAGATCAATGGTTGTTTTTATCACTGGCAGAGGTGAAATCAGGTTTTCAGCTTATAGTTGCTATGTGTGTAAAACCGACATCAAAACATTTATAATTTCTCTCGGATACTATATGTGAATTTATTCACCAACTGTAATCTATTAGATACTTCTACTCTTGAAATTTATGATACAAGTGATTGCTGCTAGCGTTTCTTCAGAATTGAAAGCCTGTTTTGCCCTTAGTAGTTTACTTTAAGAAAAATGTATACATAGCTTTAAGATTGTGTTGAAATTAAGACAATATAAAATTACCAGCACAAACAAAGTATCTGAAAATCCAGGGACACCGCGACTTAAAAATTATGGGTAATGTTATGTTGTAGTCATATAAACAATTTGGGAGCCTTAAAATTTATGAATCTCTTCAAAGTGACCAGATTTCTCAAATATCCGCTAGATCTAGTAGAATTAATTTAAATGTTTCTTAATTCAGGCGAAGAAAGTAGGTTTGAATATTGGGCAAGTAAGTTCATCAAAGCAACGAAACCACTTCAGATGGCGACAGAAAAGATAATCGGGAATCTAGTGGACCTAGTATGCAAGATTTTTTATAAGATAATTTTTTTAATCAATCGGTTAACAGTTCTTTTGACTGTTATCAGTAATGCAACCATCATACTGAGTTGGCAAACATCTCTAAAAAGTCTCAATAGAAACCGCTGCATACATCTATGTATCAATGGATTCATCGTGCAACCAGCTTTCAATGTAATTGCTAGAATCCCTATCTCGGCTCCTTAAATGAGGGGACGTCAAAACCTAGAAAAGCCTTGTTTAAAGGGACGTCCATAACTCGCTCCAGGAGGGTTGGAGATAGTACTTTGATGACGATGTGTAACGAAAAGAAAGAGGGGGGTGTGTTCATAAGATATGACTTTAATCAACTGGAAAGTATTAAATTTTTTTGGATTCATTACTTTTGTAAATAGTTATGAAAATTGACCAACTTACCTAATCTCGATCCAAATCATTAAAATTGTAGAAAAAAACTGTTTTTTTTTTTTTGTTTTTTTTTTTACTAAAATTACAAAGTAGAGGGAGGCTGCTTGTTGTGAAGTCGTTTTAGTTGGTTTGAATTGTGTTTTATAAAGTGTGAGTATTGCGGGATGGGGTTAAATTGATTTCAACCATGGACGTGCCATTACAACCCCAGACAAAAATAGATTTTTTTTTTCACTTGGTTTTAGAAATGATGTAGATAAATGAATCTGCATGAAGTTTAGCATAAATTGTTTTTAAATAAGAAAATAAAACTTTCATAGCTGTTATACAGCGCATAAGCTCAATGATTTCAATTACATATTGTATTACGTGGTAAGTATTTAATGATAGGAAAGCAAGGATGTTCAACTAAATTATTTCTTTAAAGATTGTATGATTAACATTGATATTGCCATAAAATTATTGCCTGCGTCTTTTACAAATGCAAAGCAACTGGAAATATCAGTATCTTACCGCTGGTGAAGTGTCTGCTAAGCATGTAATCTCCAATATTCCTGCCCATCCGACTTAATACCCCAGCATAGTCGGGTAGTGAAATTGGTGAGGATAGAAGATCTTCAAGACTGTGACAAATTGAAAAAAATGTAATGTTATTTTATGGACTATCGCTAGAGCGCTAGACTGCTAACCCGAGAGTCTCGAGTTCCAATCCGGATTCACGTCAGCGGAACGTCCCTCAAACCACCCAGCTTTGATGGGTACCTAACTTACGTTAGGGAAACAAAGGTGGCTGGGCATAGTGCTGACCACACTATCGCTTCATATGCCGAAGTCTCTGAAGCAGATAAGCTTTACTTCATCTGCTCCATGAATTTTTACACGAACGGTAAATCGTGATGACAAACTTTATTTTTTTTTTAAAAGATGACAATGGATTTTAGTTTTATAGATTAACAAAAGATAATATGTTTTATTTTAATATCTCTGTATGTAATTATGTGACGTGTATGTGTAGCTAAAGTGGGTGGGGCTAGAACTATGTGGTATCTCCTTTCCTTGCTCTGTATGTTTGTCAATATTTAGATATGGGTGCGATGATTTTGTGTTCTGGCTTCAAGAATGATAAGAGGGGTGGGGCTATACGGGGGGGGGGTGATGAAATCATTGTTTTATATTGTTAAAACCCATCTGTTATTATGTTTCTTATACAACTTTCTTCTTTATTTATTAGGATAGAATTATTCGTAATGCTTGAATAAAACAATTTTAGTTTAAATCTAGATTGCTCGGGTTATTATCCGAGTAATCTCACGTGGATGGGAGTTTACCTTATTTTTTATTTCTTTATTAAATTACGATTTCTCAGCAAAAAAAAACTGTTTAAGTTACCTGCAAATATCGACGTTACCATCTGATGAGGATTTCATTTCAAAAGCTATAATAACCTCGAGACAGAGAGTCTTTCTTGAGTTACAGTTTGAAATATGAGATGAGAAATGTATGCTTCAAGTTCGTGGTTGGAATGGGAGCATCACTTAGACAATTATACTTTTATATTATCGGGCAAGTTATGATAGGATGGATGTACTGAATTGAAATAAGTGATTGATCCCGATAAGATTCGATTTGTACGTGAGATAGCAGCCCATCACGATGATAATGAATGGGGTCAAGTCCAACATTTAAAACACAAGCAAGTCTCAAACTATTTTCTCAAGGTAAGTTGACAAGTATTTTTAAAAGCCGTTGGTTCGTAAATTATTAATTTTTTTTGTATTTGTTTTTTTAGATTGATTTAGAAATTGGTCTACTAATTTGACACCATCAGCAATGCAAACCTATGGTTTGTAAATTATTATTTTTTTGTATTTGTTTTTAGATTGATTTCGGAATTGGTCTGCTAATTTGACACCATCAGCAATGCAAACCTATGGGAAAGAACAGAACAGCTTTCTGATGATAAGGAAATCAGGAGAGAGGGAAGATCAGATTAGATAGGGTACGCCCAACGCAAACCGCTGACCAGTTTCACGAAGCGAGCATTACTGTGGAATCCGCAAGGGGTAGTGAAAAAATGTTGAGCAACAAACAACAAGCGGCGCGACCTTGGACCTAAAGATGGAATACATCTGGAGTCAATTTGAGAAGATGACACAGTACAGAGCTCTCTTTGGATATCTTTGGATGTCGGCCCATTAACTATCTGTGGTGGCGGGCAATGATGCTGCACATGACGAATTGAACATGCTGATTATGATTGGTTTAAAACTGTATATCAATAGCAAACACAAGGTCATTGTCTAAAATTGTTGGTACATGAATATTCAATGTGGGGCTCATATTTTACCAATATTTCGCTAAGATTTTAACAAAGTTGTCCACAAATTCCCCAATATTGGATCAAAATGTATCAATACAGTGATCTGATTTTCAAAATTTTGGGCCAAGATTTTTCCAATATTTGGCCAAGATTTTCCCAATATTTGACCAGGATTTTCCAAATATTTGACCAAGATTTTCTCAATATTCTTATATGATATTCTCAATATTATGAAATCATCTTCCTATCAACTAGATTAAAAAATTAATATTCTTGAATTGTCATCGGAAATTAATTATTCTGGAAAGTTCGAATGAAAACTCTGCATTAGAAATGGGTTAAAATTGAATTACAATATTTGCCACAAACCCACCACAAACAAACATACAAAGAGGCATTGTGAATTGAATAAAAGCATATAAAAATAATGTAATACACTTAAAAAATACATATCTTGAAATTTAATTTATATCAGTTTATGCTAAACATTCCAATTCATATCTCAATGTATATCACCAACAATAAAAAAATTAAAGTTAATTCTAATAGCATTCTTCACAAGTGACCTAACAGATTTACTGTAAGATATTATTTTCATTCAATACTCAGAACAACAATAATTGCTTTGTCAGATATGTTATAATTCAACTCTCCTATTAACAATCGTCTACTACCCAATATGAGTGAAACCGTTAACAAGGTTGAAATTTTTTTTTAACTTGAACAAGTACTATATCATTTTTTATGTTCATTAGATAACAGAATGAGGCTAAGTATTTCGAGATATATAAAAAAAATCATTTTTAAGTACATCGTCTTTAATTGTTAAGACTCCTACACGACAACAGCTTGATTATAATTTTCCTTGAATCTTTTTGACAACCTCAGCTAAGATTTCAATACCCTGAAAAAAATAATTTCATTAGTGCATGTAGAACACACATTAATGTAATACAAATATATATTCAATTTTATTAAGAAACATTCAACATGTTCCTCTCAAATTAATTCCATGAAAAAAAAATACTGTGAAAAGTAACGTATTGTTGCTCCTATAGTACAATAAACAACTTACCCTGTCCATTTCTTCCACTCCAGCGACCGAGAAAGATAACCGTATGAAAGGTTTTGGAGCTTGATCAGGTGAGAAGAGCCGCCCAGCGACAATGGCCACGCCCTCTGCCAGAGCTTCCTCCATCAGCTGGCTCGTGTCTGACACGCCTTTGATCCTCACCCAGAAGAACATCCCTCCACTCGGGAAGTTCCATGTCGCAACATCTGGAAAGTCGGAGCTAATGTCAATAAGAATCAGATCCAACCAAAAATAAGTTGTCTAATGTAGTGGGTTTTTTTAAATGTGACCATGGACAGTGTGAAATGATTTCTCTGTTTACAACTAGTAATGATTAATTTTAGTTAATACTACTCATGTGATTTGCTTAAGTCCAGTCATAGATCCAATACAATAATTTACAGTGGCTTTAACTTCTATCAATTACTGCTTCCATAAGTTTCTTTTCTTCATAGCCTCCTCCACCCCCTCCCCTCCATGACTATTCTCCATACCAGATATATATATTTATATATATATATATATGTATATATATATATATATATATATATATATATATATATATATATATATATATATATATATATATATCTTTGCATACTCCCTTAACCCCCAACATCATATAAGTCTCCTTACCCCTTATTCCAATATCTAACCCCGCATTAATTCCAGACACATACCCACACCTCAATAAAACTCCGTTACCTCCTTATAAATCCCTTACCCTCCATATGACCCCCTTACCCCCCCCCATATTTCTGTTCCCTACATAAAACCCCCATATGACCCCTTTATCCCCATATATCTCTGTAAGGCCCCTACATATAACCCCCATATGACCCCCCTTACCCCCATATATCTCTGTAAAGCCGCCTCCATATAACCCCTATATGACCCCCTTACCCCACCCCGTATATCTCTGTAAAAAAACTACATATAATCCCCATATGACCCCTTACCCCCCATATATCTATGTAAAGCCCCCTACATATAATCCCTATATGACCCCCTTACCCCCATATGACCCCCTTACCCCCCATATATCTCTGTAAAGCCGCCACAATATAACCCCCATATGACCCCCTTACCCCCCATATATCTCTGTAGAGCCGCCTCCATATGTCCCCCATATGACCCCCTTACCCCCATATGACCCCCTTACCCCCATATGACCCCCTTACCCCCCATATATCTCTGTAAAGCCGCCTCCATATAACCCCCATATGACCCCCTCACCCCCCATATATCTCTGTAAAGCCGCCTCCATATAACCCCCATATGACCCCCTTACCCCCCATATATCTCTGTAAAGCCGCCTCCATATGCCGAGCCTTCTGTTGGTACGTGTCTGCCAACTTGATCATCTCGCTGTGGAACTTCTCCAGTCCCCACTGGTGTAGGAGTTTGTTCACCATCAGCTGGGGAGAAACAAAAAAGTTCGATACTACTCCCGGTTAAACCATGTGTGAATTGACGGAATAAAAACAAAACAAAAACATCGACAGTCACATATACGATTTTATAAAGTATGGGTTATCAGTAAAACATATGATTAATTAAGAAACAGTTGTTGAAATTAGTATGATATTGTGTTTGACTAACAAACTAATCCTGCGATTTAAGATCAATGCAGATTATCATCAAAGAGTCTACGGCTACATGCGAGAGAAGACTAGGATTAAAGGTGATTCATAGAGATTACGGTTAAATGCAAGAGTAGGCTGAACGGTGTTTCCTAGATGCCAAGGTTACCTTCGAGAGTCTAGGGTGGTATTTCATAGAGGCTAAGGTTACCTATGAGAAGAGGACAGTGTTTCTTCCAGACTTTTTTCTCCGGGGGGGGGGGGGGCACTTGAAATTTCCGCGGGGGGAGGGGGCGGACACTGTTAAAAGTATATATTTTCTATATAAATTATATAAATTTCATTTCGTTCGCGGGGGGGGGGGTCGGTAGAATTTTTTCGGGAGAGATGCCTGGAAGAAACTCTGGAGAGGATGAACGGTATTTCATGGAGGCTAAGGTTAACTATGAGAATAGGATGAACGGTGTTTCATAGAGGCTAAGGTTACCTATGAGAAGAGGATGAACGGTGTTTCATAGAGGCTAAGGTTACCTATGATAAGAGGATGGACGGGGTTTCATAGAGGCTAATTTTACCTGCGATAGAAGGCTAGGATGAACAGTGTTTTGTGACATGCTCAACACAAACTTCTGTACGAGATTAGCGGGTCCACTCAACCAGCCTAGCCGATATCTAGAATGTAATGAATGATTACTCTGTCAAAACAATAATATAAAATTTTAATAATGTTCTTGCAACTTTAGTATACAATATGATAATATGATAAATAAAATAGAAACGAAGATGTCAATAGTTTGAACCTCAGCACCGTACCATATACGCCAATGTACATACCCTGCTCCCAGTATCTTAGAGAAGGTGTCGAACCTCAACACTCTACCATCTACATCAATGGACTGGAAGCCGCGCCGCCTCTATTACATGTTAGGATTATATAATTGAAATGTTAGGTGATTGAAGAAGAGTTAAATACTACATACATTATTCACTGTTTTCTTACGGCAGTGTTAGTATTAAATCTGAACGATTCGTCATAATTACATTAAAAATTACTACGGTAAAAAAGTTTTTTTTTATTATTGTATTTACTTCGTAAATGGTAATTTAACAAATTAGAAAACTTATCAAAATAAAGTTCCGTCAATTTACCTGCTGAAACTGCATGAAGTAGTACGCTGCATCCTCAAGTATAATGACGTCATACTTTCTACATACTTTGTATATGTCAATCATTCTTTCTATTTCCCACGTGTTACCTAGATACAAAACAAGAGCTTACTAGCTGTCAAGTAGTTTTTCTTAAAAGATCAAATATAACACCAAAAATTATATATATATATATATATATATATATATATATATATATATATATATATATATATATATATATATATATATATATATATATAATATGATTACTCTTTGGATTGTTGCAGAATGTGATGGTGTGTAAAACTCGTGGTCTTTTCGTGTTGGGATGTGTCGTTGCCCAGGTTCCTAGAACATCTTCTAAATCTTGAGCCAACATCCCTCCCTCGTCACTCGACACGATCTGAGGTTTCGCCCCGAACAGTTGGAACTGAAATTGGATGTGTAAATGCTATGACATTTATTAGAACTTTAACAAAAGATGTAAGCACAATGAACCATCAAAATATTTTACCTATTGTAAACAAAAATTCCCAAAAGTTTTAAAACTCACAGTGCCTATGGTGTTTGGATAAATGACGTCTTCTACCAACAGGTGATCACCTTCTTCCAGTAGGATGTGAAACATCTGAAGGATATATATATATATATATATTTAAAAATAAATATACAAGATACTTAATTACTTAATGCTTTAAGTTCATCGTTATAGGGGATGTAAGTAAAGTAACAAATGAACATAAACTGACCCCTCTGAGGCCGTCTGTGATGCCGTTGGTTATGGTCAACATGAACGGCTCTGGGTGGTCAGTCCTGATAAGCTGTGGCGGCTCGTGTTCTACTCGGTGAAGTTCTGTTAGCCATTCCCGTAGTTCTGGTAGTCTGGTGGTCATGGTAGGGGGGGGGGAGAGAGAGAAAGGATAACTCGCTAACAAATATTCTCTTTACGTGTTTACATGCTTATATTTTACTGTGTTGTGTTTCTTTACAGTTCAGTATCGTACAGTTTGTGCACAATAAATTCACAAGGATTTTTAAACACAGATTCAACTCTAGTAGCCATACAATAACAGTCAAATCACTTTCCACAATAGAATTTCTTTAACTTCAAATATTATTTAATTATTAATTACTTATTTATAAGAAATATGCCAGACACATCGGTAGAGGATATTAACAGGCCAGTCTTCTATAAAATATTTTCTACCGATTTTGATATTAAAACTAAAGACGCCTCCAAAAAACTTCTCGTCAAATCGTTTTTCTCCCAGCATGTGGACTTATGTCCTGCCCACCAATCAGTGGCGTAGCTACCGTAAAGCTAGCGTAAGCAAGGCATAGGGGCCCAAGGCAATTAGGGGCCCTTTTTCGAAAGTTTGAGGGGGGAGGGGTGCAAATCGAAAGTCTGACGGGGGGGGGTGCAAATCAAATGTCTGAGGGGGGCCGGTCGCGGGGAAGGGTCGCTACGCCTCTGAAGGGCCCATTAACACTTTTTGCATAGGGACCCTAAAATCCTAGCTACGCCACTGCCACCAATCTATCTTCCACCATAGCCAAGGCTACAACCATAAGGCAACGGTTCAACTTTATTAATGTTGCACTTTAGGGTATTTAAATATAGTTACCCTTTCGGACCTGGCGATCCGGATAGCAGTTGAAATAGAGTTTATGTGACCTTGGAAGATGAAGAAGGGATAGTAAAGTCAGTACTATGCGACGCCTCCTTTATTCCCTTTACGTGAGTCAGGTATATATATATATATATATATATATATATATATATATATATATATATATATATATATATATATATATATATATATATATATATGTGTGTGTGTGTGTTATCAAATAAAAAGAAATATTGGAATTTAACGAGACGTATCTTTACTGTTCTACTTCACCTACCCTTCACATAGTCCATAGATTCCAACAGCCGCCATGTCGGTCCTGTCCAGTTCAACAACGGATCCATCTCTGTTCATTATTTTATTATTTAACTATTATAACCACGTCTACAATAGTAAAATAACATTTACATTTTAACTTCGTCACATTTAAAGTCACAAATGACTAGATCAATAAGTGTCTACGTAGTATATATATGTATATATATATATATATGTTGGGATGTCAGTCTCTTTCACATTATTTTTTTTTGTGAGATGTCAAACATTTCACCACATATTTTGTAAAGAAGGATGTTCGTTGTTGTTTTGTTTTGTTTTTTGTGTCCCAGGCATTTGAGGCTACTCCATTGTTTACTACTTGATGTAAACTATTGAGTGTAAATGATTTTAAACTACGCGTTTTGTTGTATTTTGAAAGGGTGTTGTGTTGTATTGTGGGAAGGGTGTTGTGTTGTATTGTAGGAAGGGTGTTTGTTGTATTGTGGGAAGGGTGTTTGTTGTATTGTGGGAAGGGTGTAGTTGTATTGTGGGAAGGGTGTTTGTTGTATTTTGGAAGGGTGTTGTGTTGTATTGTAGGAATGGTGTTTGTTGTATTGTGGGAAGGATGTTGTGTTGTGTTGTATTCTGGTAAGGGTATTTAAAACACTTAAATTGTTTTAGTATAACCATAGTATAATGAGGTTGTATTTTCCTGTTGGCACAAATTTTTATTGCGCCTTTGTTTAAACCTGTTCTAACATAACATGTTTGGTCAGGTCTTATTCTGATGACGATGACGCTAATTTTTATAACATCAATAGAGAGCCATTTCATATATGTAACTCCAGATAGGGAGGGGCACCTAAAATGACCGTTGGGACCACGGTGACAATGGTTAAAATGTATTTGCTTCTTTTCCGTCTTGGAGTGGTTTTGTCATCGTCGTCCACTCCCCCCCCCCTCTCCACATTCTCTCCCCCCCCCTTCCCCACCTCTCCTTGAAGAGATGACGAAAAGAAAAAGTTCAAGAAGACTTTACCTTAAGAGAAATGAGGCCCCTACAACGGGCAATGTATCAGCATTCGGTAGACCGTTACACAAAAATATCTTGGGTTGATCGCTCTTACACGCTGAAAGTGTAACAGTAAAATATGCAATCTTTTCTGTTAGAGAGTACCAAGGTAGTTACGGTAGCCGTCTCGTGAAGTATAGTGTTATTGATGTAAGCATGTCTATTTAAGTTGGGGTTAGTGTGCGCTGTTATTATAGTATAGTGATAGTCAGAGGCGCAGCTTGATTGTCGGGTTACCATGACAACAGATAACCTTAACTAGGGAGGATGGGGAGGAAGTTGTTGGCTCACCTTCAGAGTAGAGCCTGCGAAGTCTGTTGTCCTGTACATCTCTGCCCATTCTACTTAGGGCACTAGAATAGTCAGGCAGGGAGACGGGTGAGGTTAGGAGATCCTCGAGACTTGTGGTGCAGCCATTGCTAAATTAAAGAAAACATTGTCTTCATTGTTTCTTTCAGGTCAAATTAATTTATTAAACACTGAACGCATATACAACAGTTTATGAAATATTTGCATATATATATATATGTATATATATATATATATATATATATATATATATATATATATATATATATATATATATCGTTGAAGGCAAAATGCAACGGCCGGTAATATATTGTTTCTTTTCTCTCTTAACCTGAACGTTAAACTCAAATCTAATAATAACCCTAGCACTATCATTAAACATAACGCAAACCATAACCCTAACTCTAACCTTAACCTGAACCTCAACCGGAACCTAAAACGTAATGCTGATATCCAAACCTAACGCTTACCATAACCACAGCCCTTACCCTATTCCTAACCATAACCCTCCCTCTATTTCTTTATTTTGCTTTTAGAGTACACTGTATATGTTAGTCATATTTGCCTTTTTGCATTAATATATATACCTTTAATGTGACACATGTGACCTGGAAGAAGACACCAAGAAGATTGGATACACCTGTGGACAGGTGGAGAGACTAGCCCAGGACAGGATACACCTGGGGACAGGTGGAGAGACTAGCCCAGGACAGAGACGCCTGGAAAGCTCTTGTCAGCGGCCTATGTCCCAGGAGGGACGACAGGCAAACCTAACCTAACCTATGGTGACACATATATAATACCACATCACGATAACAATTTAACTTAATGTAACTTACATGCTGCTGTCGATTCCAGCCATCATCTGCGGTGTGGCCACACAATTTCTCACGTCGTCGTAAGTTCTTTCGTCCACTTACAGCTTCACTTTATAGAGTCGTGAATTAAGTCAGTACTTTAGCAAGTCTGCTGCTTGCATTTATGTTAGGGTCGATTCAACTTTTGAAGAGGTTAACATTAAATTAGCGCGTCTGATGGCCAGCTGTCACATAATATAACAAAATTTGAGAGTCTCTATCTCTATATCTCTATCTCTCTTTGTCATACGCGTAGAGAGCTGATCTGTGAAATTAATGAGATGAATATATGTTTATATATGCTAAAACAGTTATGTACATGTGATTTGATTACAAATAATACAAGTAAAAATGAGTAACGTTTAAGTTAGCTGAGCTATGAAACTAAATGTATTTTGTTTGCTCTTATGGACATCTTTAAAAATGTAATCCAATGAAATGAAAGGGAGACAAGAAACATCTTGTGTGCTCCATTTTGTAACAAAAATGTGAGGAATATGAATAACTGCACGACATGAATGCAGTATCACATTAATAAGATAAAGATAATTTTTGTAAAAATATGCACATTATTTTCTTAATTTTGAATACATTTTTCAGATATTTTTTTTATTTTCAAGTCATGGGAAAAAATAATGAACAGCATAAGGATACATGTTTTCTGCAACAAACGTTTTGCATTTAATTTGTTATATTTAATTGTAATGTAGCAATAAAAAAGATAGTGCAAAGCTGGTCACAGTACCTGTGGAGAAACTAGAATTTTAGTGTTTAGTTAAATGATAAATATTGTTTCGTTAAATAATTATTTATGTCTCGCTATATTAAAATTAGTGTTTTAACAAATTATAGTTTCTCGAATTGATCTAAACTCAAGCTATACGGAAAAAGCGTTATAAAGCTGAGCCAGTTGAATTAACTCTTGCCATTAAGCTTACTCGTCACAGCAACTCCAAAACAATGTTGAAGAAAAGTTTTTAAACAAAAATGTCTATTGATTTGAGTGAAAATATTACCTTACGCGCTTACAACCCCTCCCCCTCCCCTTTCGAACACACTCATACCATTTACAAACGCACACACCCTTCATCACACACAAATACACACTGAACAAATGTATGCATTAGAAAAATTAATTCCGATTTTTATATTTTATCAAACTTCCTTGAGGATCTATAGTGTAATTTATACTAATAAATTGTCAAATATACATTAAATTAAAAAATACCAAAATGCTAAAACAACAATAAAAGCATCATTTATACAATTGTAATTACACCACCAACCTGACTTCAATTCGTATCCAACCAGTCCAATGACAGTAATCGATATTCTAGCCTCCCTTGTCTGAATATAAATTACAAGTTAACGGATCTGCTCATATCAGGATATTCAAGGGAGATCACAACATCATATCACCGTCACTCTGTAGACCAAGGGTTTGAGGCTGTCGCGAGTGAGGCGAGTTTCTTCACTCACAACTAGCTGTATATCCGTGTTTTTGTAGCCTCAGTTTCGTATTATAGTCAAAACACCGATGTTGTTATTGTCTTCAGATCTGACCAGCGCTTGCTGTCTGCTTGGTAGGACCATTTGGTATCCCATCTGATAAGGCCGTCTGGGTCAATCATATAAATGAGGCTGATTTCTCTCCTCGCTGTCTAGACTATTCACAGGGTTTCGTTCAGACATGCTCTATGTGCAGAGTTTCTCTTCGGGGGGGGGGGGGAAGCCCCAATAAAATTCAAAACGAACGAAATAAGTGAAATGTATATAATTTATATAGAAAATATATACTTTTAACAGTGTCCGTCCCCCCCCCCCCCCCCGAAGAAAGTCTACCCCCCCCCCCCCGAAAATTTCAAGTGCCCCCCCCCCCCGGAGAAAATAGTCTGGAAGAAACACTGTCCATGTGTGTGCGTGTGTGTTGGGGGGGGGCGGGGGGCAGTAATTCAAGTATATATTTTCAATAGACATTATAATGTGTTTTTTATTTGGTCCGACGTTCTCCGCCGCCCCTCACCCCACCCCTCACCCCTCACCCCTCACCCCCCCCCCTCACTCAAGTATGCAAAGAGGTGGCTGAAAGAAACACAGATTATGCGCAGTGCCAGATCTCATTAAAGACTAAATAAAGATAATCAGACCGCTGTGTGGACGGAAGTAGTATATTAGGTCCCTTTTGGGTATCATTTTTGGCGCAGGTGGTGGTGGGAAGGCGCAAAGGTTATATAGTAAAATACTCGGAGCAGGATGCGCAGCCTGCCGCAGCCTGCCGCAAAGACATATAGTAAAATACTACGCCAGCTGCCGCAGGGTGGTGGAGCAGGATGCGCTGCAGGCGCAAAGACATATAGTAAAATACTCACCCACCTGGCGTTGGCGCAGGTGGTGTGGAAGTAGGTCACCTTTTGGTGACCTTGTGACGTAATCATTGACCTTGTGACGTAATCAGTGACCTTGTGACGTAATCATTGACCTAGTTACGTAATTTTAATGTGTTTTTTAATGAGTTTTAATGAATTTTTAAAATTTTAATTAATTTTTGACCTAGTTACGTAATTTGATTATTTGTTTTTATTACATAATTGTTTAATTTGTTTGTTTACTTGTTGTTTAATTTAATTACTTTGTTTATATTGTGTAATTTTTATTAACGAGTTACATAATTTGATTATTTGTTTACTTTTTAATTATTTTTATTTTGTTTATTTTTAATTTTATTTTATAATTAGTTTGAATTTAAATAAAAGACTAACACTAGCGTGGACTTTGTATAGGGACCATTCACCAACACAACGAACGGTTACCGAAAATAGAACATCCATTTAACCACATCTGTTACATATCGATCCGCAATCCTTTGTTTTTTAGAAGGCCCGTACAACGGCCGAGTTAATATCGATCGCACCCACTGGGCCATCACAGCATGATGTCCCACCTAATTAAATTTTTGTTATGCTTCTCCGAGTTTCCCCCGCTCGATTTGACGGGTCATGATGATTTATGTGGGTTCGCGAAGCGATCCCACCGGGGGGTATGGTAATTATCGCAAAGCCAGCGTTAAGTGTGGGAACACCTGTTACCACGTTAATCGATTTTTCCCCCGGTTGGGTCCCGTGCTTTTCACTAACAGTTATACGGACAGTATCATAGGTTTTTTGTTTTCACCTAGGCAATGTTTTGTTGTTGGTTGGTGTAGAGTTTATACCAGGGTCGGTGAAGTTTTCACCGAGGTTGGTTTTGAACTCGGACCATGCATGTTTAGGAATTGCTAGGTGTAGAGTTTATACTAGGGTGGTATGGTTTTGGTTTCACCATGGCTTGGTTCAAAGTTGATACAGGTATGTTTTGGAAGTGTTAGGCGCCGAATCCATACTAGAGTGGGAAGGATTTTGTTTTCACCGAGTGATGTTGGTTCACGGATGTTTTGGAAGGGGTTGGTGTAGAGTCTATACTAGGGTCGGTGAAGTTTTCACCGAGGCAGGGTTCGAAACTAGACCATATATGTTTAGGAATTGTTAGGGGTAGAGTTCATACTAGGGTCGGGGGAGTTTTGTTAACACTGAGGCATGTTGGTGCATACATGTTCTTGGAATTGTTGTGGGTAGAATGTATACTAGGGTCGGTGAAGTTTTCAACGAGGCAAGATTATTTGTCTTTACAAGTTCGCTTTGTGATTGTGATTGTGTGTGTGTGTTTGAGTGTGAGTGAGTGTGTGTGTGTGTGTGTGTGTGTGTGTGTGTGTGTGAGTTCATACTAGGGTCAGTGAAGTTTTCAACAAGACAGGTTTCAAATTCGGTCCATCCATGTCTTAGAGTCGGTTGGTGGATGGTTTATACTAGGGTCGGTGAAGTTTTCCCGATGCAATATTGTTTTTGTCTTTACAAGTTCGTTTTGTGATTGCGTGTGTGTGTGTGTGTGTGTGTGTGTGTGTGTGTGTGTGTGTGTGAGAGAGAGAGAGAGAGAGAGAGAGAGAGAGAGCTTTTTGGTTTGAGTGAAAAAAGTTTGGTTTGCGGTGTATAACAGACACCGATGTTTTGACTGCGTAGGATTTCAAAGTTGGATGGGAAAGTTGTCACACCTTTTAATCAGCTATTACAATAAATCACAAAAGAGCATTTAAATGTATATAAAAATTGTATTTACTTAAAACAACTCCTGTGTGTGTGTGTGTATGTGTGTGTGTGTGTGTGTGTGAATGTGCAGCCCGTACAAAAGGACAGTCTGGATAATAGCGTCGATGTTCTTCTTCTACCACATCACCCGTTTCCCAACCCCCCAACGTATTCAAACAGAAAATACACTTGACAAGGTCACCAGGTCCAATGAAGATAAAACCATTTTTAGCCAAACTGATAGGGTCGACCGGGTAGAAGTCGGACCAACACCCTGAAAATGTTTGCAACCTTTCCTCCTCATCATGGAACCTGATGTCACTGTCCCTGTCAGAAGCTGGGTTGGGTGGTGGTGGTATCTCATCAAGGGGTTCAATAAAGGTTCCACCTATAGGTCGCTGTACAAACACTCTCTCATAACCTAGATTCATATCCCCTTGATTAGTCTCATGAAAGGTATTGATCATCTGTACAGGATACAATCTCACTTCATCTGGTCCAATATCAAGACCCGTTTCCGTTTGATCCGACATTCCCGTGCTCTCACTGGAATCCCATCCACAGCACTGAAGACAAAAACATTCACCGGACATGGTATAGGGTTCTTATACGGCGGTGTTTATAGTATTCCCTGAATACCACGCCTGGGTGGGCTATCGATCAATGCCGTAAAGAACTGTTTCCAACTCGGATCCAGTATTTTAAATGGTTGATTTTGATTTCAGTCATGCCTCTTATACAGGATACCGAGTTACATAACTTTCAGGGACAAGTAACAAAACAATAACTCACATCAAAAATTTAAAAAAGACCGTTTATATCATAAGTTTTTATTGAATAAAAACAACCCCATCAGCATACCGTCATGGTTCTGTCTTATTTACATATTTACATTAAAGTCTCGTTAAAGTCATGGTTGGTAAACTAAAGGTTCTTATGTGTCTAGGGGAGATGTTGTGACATTGTCTG